CTACTTGTGCTCAGCCAGTATACCAGCAATGCGAAGCTGCGAGCAAGCTCCAAAGGCACAATGTTACACTGTAACCGGAGGGTACGTTTTTGGCTGGTACGAGCAGAACGTCCCCTGCCTACGTCCGTAATAGTTTTCTGTCCGATTTAGTAGTAGGCGGAGTTCTCTTATTCTAGCTTATTCTAGCTTCATCTCATATGGGAGTGGGTAAGTTTATTTTTTAGCTGTTGGTATTAACACTAGGTATGCTGTTGTTGCGTTGTTTTCTACCACTCCAGATGTAGAGTTAGTAGCGCACTGTGCATCGAAAATAAATAAATATCGTCAATTCGTTGACCACACGGACTGAACATCACTGCGGAGTGCGAAGCGCGAGGTAAGACGCTTGCCGCAGCATAAATTCGCATTGTACAAATCGTGATCAATTTGTGCAGCTCGTGCGGTTAACGAATCGACGATGCTGTGAGAATATAGCCGGTAAGAAATTTTCCACCTACCTGCCGCCTATGTGCTGCAATGTCGGCCCAAGCTTTAGCTGCGCAGCCGATTCTGGGGAGAGGAGGGGGAGAGGGACTGGGACAAGTGGGCTCGAAGCTAAGGGTTTGTCAGTCGGTAGGTGGCTTCCTTCAGAGACCGAAGGTAGCCCAGGCAGCTCTTTATTTCGGTCTTGCTTCAAGCCGTTCTCCATTCTTCATCGAACGCCCAAATTACACTTGAGAAGAGGCGATGGGGTGCGTTCACTTTTATTTCCGCATTTTTGCTAAGGGCTACCTTAACTGAGTCTTTCTCCGATGTATTCGCAGTCGCTTTTCTTCCTTGCTTCATTCCCTTCAGCATCGTCTCTGCTTCAATGATGCTGTCAAGAGAAAGTTGTCATCCGCAAAGCGAAGGTTTGGGAGGAATCCTCAATGCCTCGTACGCCTCTCCCAGTCCACTAGATTCATCAGCCGCTGCAGGGTCGCGATAAACAGCTTCGACGAGATTGTATCGCTCGGACTCGTCCTAAAGGGACGGTCATGTCTTGGAGTGGCGCAAAGCCGTTATGCAGTTCTTTTAGCAGTCAGCCAGTGCCCTAGCGAATAGATAGAATTTCAAGTTTCTAGGAGATTACACATGATAGAAATCGGGCCCAAATATCAGACATTTTTCAATTCAGCAATTTTTCTCTGTCATGCACAAACTTGTGAGAAGTTTTTGTGAGCCTATTGGTGTGGTAATGGCACAGGGCTCGGCACGAGGGTGACAAATGGACATCTGAGAAACAAATTCGCTTTCGCCACATTCACACTTTACGATTTTCACCTTGATCGCGCCAGCTGCGTGAACCGTCAGTTGCTCCTTGCGAGGAAAAGCAGATACTGTTTTGGGTTATAGCAAAGAAGAGGGGGGTGTTTTGAAATCATTTCTATTCATATACCAACTATCAAGTGTAGTAGCTTTATGTAAGAGTTATGGAAAACTCACGTGAAATGGAAGGATTGTTACCTTCAGACGGCATTAGGGTCTCATTTGAAATCGGTAAAGATGACCCGTAGTCTTAAAAGTTACTGTATTCGCATCAGCATGCTCACTTACCCCCAGTGCCAATTCCTAGTCCCGTAGCTCTAACCTTGCAGAAGCTGATAAGACCGGTAAAGGTAACCGATATTTCATGAAAATGATATTGTATTTGTGATCAGCACACTCACTTATCCTCTGTGCCAACTCCCAGTCCCTTAGCCCAAAATTTGCAAAAAAAAAATTGTTAAAACCTAATGATGGTTCCAAGGCCCGCACGTATAGGGCTTTGCGTGATCGCGAGAGCCGTTGTTTGCGGCCACTGCACACGCAGAATGCCACAAAGGCTTAAACCTGCTTAACAATTCCGTAGGTTTCAAAATTGTCTTAAGCAATTGCAAGCTAACATTTTATAGCAGAGAAGCGTTTGAAGGAGAACGATAACTGAGAAATGATGCGCGTGCAATGGCCGCAAACTCACCTACTCTCGCGATCACGCAGAACCCCATACATCCTCGCTCAGCAGCCGGCCGGGAGCCGTCGTCGCCCGGTCGCCTGCCGACAGTGTCTGAGAAATCGACGTGCCCGACCTTAGTCACGTGCGCCTTTGCTTCTCCGCTCTAGGCGCACTATTTTTCTTAGTCTGCTTAGCATGTGATTAGCTTCAGGCTGGATCGTTACTTAGACAAAAGTTCGGCCGAGCGGCCCGCGAAGTGAGGTGTTTGGCCAAACGGGCACATATACCGGACGAGCGAAGGACTCGCCGGACCAGCGGAAAAAGGGCATGAGAGATGCCGCACATGTCCAGACGTGCGGCCGCTCGTGCGATTAAGGAGAGTAATCCGTTTTCGAGCGGGAGCCAGACCAAAGGTTCCGGAGCGAATGCGAGAAGCGCGAGAGCTGTGCGTTCGCATTGCGAGAAATTTTTCTTTTCTTACATTAAAGACAGTGTCCGGGCAAGATGAGGGTTTCGGGACAGTGCCCTGCGAGAGTGGCCTCCCTCAGACACAACATCGCGCAAGTGCAACGTTATAACGCTCGACCTAAAAGAAGAAAAACGACCGGAAAGTGGGGAAACTTACGCCTTGGGGCGGGGCCCTCCGAGCTGTCCGAATTGCTGCTATGCGGCAGAGTACGCATGTCGCCACAGTTAAAATGTAGGTTTCTGCAGCGACTCTGCGTCTCTGCCTTGGTGGGGACCGTCAATTTTCAAATTGTGCGGCTTTGGAAAACGTATGTTCTCGCCGTTTTCGCGCCTTCTACTAGGGATTTTCGGATTTAGCTTCGCGAATTACCCCCGGTAAGTGGATTTTCTGAAAATCGAGTTTTTGCCCGGACACTGCCTTTAAGGCTTTTCAATCCCATTTGATCGGCTTTTTTTTAGATCTCTTCTCCTCATGCTTGAATGGTTTTAGTGAATTTTTTTGCGCGCATTCATTATACAACTTTTGTTGTCGTGTAGTGCATTTTCGTAGAAAGCAAGTACATGCGAGTAGAGAACTAGCTATTTTCAAGGCAACACGCTTACTAACACGCCTACTTACTTGGGCTACTCATCTTGTTCTTTATTGTATTCGCTGCGTGCGTAGGGGTCACTGGTTTTCCATCATTTCAGAGGTTAATTTTAGTGCTTTTCGACATAACAGAACCCAAAAAATTGCTCAGAAAGGTTATTTGGGGAGTCTATGTACGGATAACATAATTTGCTTGAGAGCGGAGCGCGCCTATTTTATTTGCCTATTTTTCAAGTAGAGCTTGTTATCACTTTGCATTTCGAGTTGTGGTCATTTTTTGCATTTCAGTGAATGGGCTCAACGTCATCAAAAGTCGGGATCTCCTGCCACTCAATCAACAGCCGACTTCTATTTATCCAAGCACATCAAGGCAGTAGGTTAAGTAATAAATAGAAATGTGGTGGAAGAAGATGTATACTTCAGCGATGCTTGTAGCGTATTTCAAAATGAACAGCTTGATTATGAATACGATACCTCTTCATGCCTGAGATCGTATAGAAGTTCTTTGGTATTCCTTCCACTTGAACTCATGGTCAGAAGTAAGGCAAGAACAACGGATATAACAAAATGCTTTGAAAAGCTGATCGCTCGGTCGATGTTGGTCAGCAGATCGCTCGGCTTTTGTGCAGTTGGACGAGCGCATAACAATACACAGCAGAAGCCGAATGGCCCGGCAACAGTAAATGCCTACGCACGGTGTCCTCAGACAGCGGATAGGACCCCTCCGCCGGAGAAATGGCAGGGTCACGGCGTTTCCCCAGCGGTGGGTCTCCCATTTGTCCGGCGGAGCCCTCCCATTTCTGCTCCGGATACCTCCCATTTTCTGCTCCGGAGACCTCCCATTTTCTGCTCCGGATACCTCCCATTTTCTGCTCCGGAGACCTCCCATTTTCTGCTCCGGATACCTCCCATTTTCTGCTCCGGATACCTCCCATTTTCTGCTCCGGATACCTCCCATTTCTGCTCCGGACCCCTCCCATTTTCTCCGGCGCGGCTCTTCCAAATTTGGCGGACTCGCGCCGGGCAAATTTCTCCGGCGCGAGTCCGCCAAATCTGGCAGAGTCGCGCCGGAGAAATGGCGGACCTTTGCAGCAGGGCCGGAGAAGCCTCCCACTTGCCTGCCAGTGATGTCACCGCGACGGACCGCCCATTTGCCCCTCTCTCATTGGTCAACTGGGTCCGGCGCGACTCTGGCAGATTCGGACTGTCCGGCGGAGGGGTCCCGTCGATTGTCTGAGTCGGACCGCTGGGCCGAAAATTTTTCTTGTTGCGCGGGACGAGCACATCCTACAGTGCTGACTTCCATTAGATTCACCCGGCGGCCTTGATAAGCGGTAGCCGCCTGCTACGAATTCCAGCGAGTCATGAAATCACAAAGCAGTCAGCACAAGCTTACTCTATCGTACAAAAGCAACATCCTCAGCACGATTGTGTAGCGGAAGATTGATTTTGACCGCTGTCAATGCTCCAATACTATGAAGGCCTCGAACATTTCATACGCTGCAAATTAGGATGGTTTTGAGGCTGCTTGTAAATACGGATATTGACGAGCAGTCAGTGAAGTTACCTTTGGTACTTTCTGTACGGAACCCTTTTGATATGGCGGTAAATGCTCTCGACACGTGCTGCATAGAGAAGTTGTGGTTCCTCTTTCTAAGTACCTTCTGCACAAAAGTAGAATCATCACTAGAGCATGGGAACTTTTGTCATCGTCTAGTTAGTCAACCTGATTATAGCTTTCTTATAGCCTGCTAGCAATAAAAGAATGGCAAAAGCGGTGCTCTTCAATCTAATTTTAGTTATGGCTTCTTGAGACTGGGAATGCTCAAATGCTCAGAACACAAGAAAATCTTAGACTGACGTAATATGGGTAAGGTGAATGAAGTGGAACTCGGATGCCCTTCCTTATCAGATGTTGAAAAACATAAAGATTACGGTATTCGTACCTGCGAATAGAAAACCTCTATTCTAAGAAGCTGTATGCAGATTTCTCATGCCTTGGTACTCAAAAATATCAAAATTTATTGGAAGTGGTTAAATACAGACAGCGAAGATGCATTTGGCTCAATGCATATAAATTGCTCAGTGCATTGCTCATAAAACTCATTCATATGTGTCTGGGCAATAATTGTCGGTATCGCATGTATTCATCTGGCAAATATAGCGCTTCGACACGTTTCTGCAGTGCACATTCTGCCAGAAAAGCTGAAATATCGCTTGATTAGTGTTGTCCGTGTTACATTGTGTTCCCTAATCGGATGTAGTGCATTTAAAACAAACCTCGAAACTGGTAGATGTCTGAGCTGTCAGGACACAGTTTGCATCTCCAGTCACATCAGGGAAATGTTTGTTCCATCTTGTGTAAAGGGAGCCTTCCAACTAAAAATGCTTTCAATATCAACCAAGACATAGCAATGCAATGTGGGAGGATCTACCGGAATCCTTTCTGGGTTTGATCCCTTAGGCCGTTCCCAGAAGTAGCCACCAGTCGTCTTGTCGTAAGACAGACCAATGTGGTACATGTAAGGTGGTTCCATCCTGTAGTCGTTTCTGAACATTGCTGAAACGAAAATACTTGGTTTTGCTCAAAAATAGACTGTTAGTCCGAATTTACATGCAATGAAGGTATGCTTTGCATGGTCAAGAACAGATGCAAGATGACCCGATTCATGGCCGATTCTAATGCACGATTTCTTTGCAAGGTTCCAGTTCGAATCAATTCCACCTGCAAGTTAGGAATAAAGATTGTTTTAGATTACTCATTACTTGAAGAGCCCAAGTTTTGCAGACAGCTCACCAATTCTCAAACACGATCCATATTTCACAGAATCGAGAGAATACTGCAACCATTGCTTCCTACAGAAACAGTTGACTGAAATATTAGCATCATTAGCAGTCTGACTTATTAGTGTTGCTCGTTAGAAGTCAAATTTACTTTGGCACAGTGCATGCTGTAGCTCTCCCGCTAGATTGGCATTTGTGTTCATGAAGAAGTATCCTTCAGTGGCTATCTGTAAATGAAATAGAGCACTTGTAGAAGAATCTTGGAACAGTCATAAAATATTTTTACCTTGCGAAGTTCCAGAAGGGCATTTGGTCTGCCTCCCTGGTCGAATGCGACAACGATGATGTCTTTTCCACTAATCTTGATCTGGTCTGCTAGCTGTTTAGCATCTCCAAAGTGGAGCTCCCTAGAATGCAAAATTGAGCTAGGAGAACAGAAAAACAACACTGTTGATACTACGATGTTCTTTTACCAAATATTGCGGCAGGTAAAAAAATCTAATTTCACTAACTTGTAAACGCTGGCATAGATGATGATGGCCTGTTTGACATTCTCCCTGACTCCTGCTGGTCGACCCTCAGCGAAGAGTTCCTCAGCCTTCATAAGAGCACTGAAAGATTGGTTATGGTGTATCAGATTCCAACCGTCTTTCGAAAATTCTCACTCTTTCAGCTCGCTAGATTTATCACTGGCTTTTTTAATCTCCCAAATCCTATCCAAAAATTCTTCAGTTGATTTGAACTCATTGAGTTTGTGGATCTGAATGGTGCATTCACTCCGAGAGACCATTTTTAAGCACAAAATTTACGAATATTCACCGCTTTCGCCGTGGTTCCGTATGTAAGGATTCCAATTCGAGTATGATGCCCTTCACCCTGGGTGATATTTGTCGGATCAAATACCGTACCCAGGTCGGCGATGACCTAAGTATTGGAGATTAGTATCACAGCGGTACATGTAGACCTTGCTGATTTCACGGGTCACATCAGACTGCGAGATAGCCGTCTCAATCTCACAGGTAAGTTATGCCAGTTACCTGTGCCATTCCCTCCATGGTCATTCCCATGGAATTGTCAATTGCAACCACGACATCAAGCCATAGCTTCGATGGTGTGCATGGGCATTCTCTTTCGTAGTAACGAGTATTTTCTTGTGCTCCAACCGCAATCAGCAGCCCTAAACCACTATGTTTGAAATGTGATTTAGCATTCAAAACAGGTAGCTAACTTACCCAATAGAATGGCCCTGTTGAATAAAAGCTTCATGGTTTATCGCTCCCAAATGACTATCTAAAATAATATAAACTTAGCTTCGAGAAAGCTACCCTCTTTGCTGTCTCTAGCTGCAATAGAGAACAAGATGCAAACGTGGTACTTGCAGAAAGTGAAGTGTAGAGCAGTCGTACTGTACCTTTTATACCAATCCATGTCACTTGTGGAAGTCCGTAGTGTCACATTTTTTTCAGCGGTCTCATGTCATGAAACATCCTGTAACGTGCATAAGATGTCATCACTTGCCCTTCTAAGCCGAAAAATCAGAATATGACATACTTTGATAAGAGAACTGTCATGAATCGGTTACTTTTTGCGATTTGATATATTCCCTTGAATTTCTGGAACTTATGACGTCAAATAAAGAGACCTCGACAGGATGCGCTTTTATGGCGGTACTTCGACTTTCTAAAAAATCGCGTGATAATATTAGAAAAAATAAAGAAAAGGGAATCTTGTGTAAATACAGAAGGCACTTTTAATGGACTCCTTGTAAAATAATCAACTTTTGAAAACTGGGCCCTAAGTTTTTTAAACTGAATCCGAGATACCTCATCTGTCCATAAGCTCCACAATAGCTCGCTTTGCACCTCACAGGAGAGGATATAGCGCATTCATGCTCATTCTGTGATAAATTCCAAAAACAAACCTCAACAAAGTGGTTATTACTTCAAGAAGTGTTACCATTTGATTTATCAGGTTATAGTTCAATCTCTCCTCGAATGAGTTTTCCGGTAGTGAATTTTCTTTGATAACACCACAGAATACTTGGCATTAATCTAGTTATCGACCCACTAATAGGATAGAGGTTTTTTTTACTATGTTTTTCAAATGATTTAGTGTTTATCAAGAATGTAAACACGAGATTTTCCCTGCTTTACGTATCTAGTGCAATGATAATCTCTATTTTTGAGTATTATTTATTTTATCACTTTATTTTATCACTCCTTCTGTCGTAGGGGATTACAGGAAATCGGAAAAATACCAATGATCAGTTTTTTGTGAGGTAAACGGGTAGGCACGAAAGCACGTAAATCCTGAACGATTTGATAAGTTTAGAAGATAGATAAGTAGGATATGTTAGGCCTGCATGATGCTACTGTTGACGACAATGTCCTCGGCACCGACCAATCGCAACGCCCTTACCGTACCTCCGGGGGAAAGTGTTTAGTCATGTGTTTGATGAGTTGTTTAAAGAGAAGCTATATTCGAACTTTACTGGTACTATGCATTATCAACGAAATCGAAAAAACCTGTACCTCTACAGCCTTATTCTTGTCAATTCTGCGCTCTAAATTGAAAATTCTATCAGTATATCGAATACCATTTAATTGCTTGGAGTCATTTGAGGTTTGTCATGTATGATATGTACAAGATGTTCCAAAATAAAAACATCTGCCACCGTATACCTGGCCTTTCTTAAAAGCATTATGCTAGGATGCCAATTCTGTATCTGGTAACAGCTACTCCAAGTTAGCCTACTGTAAGAACTCTAGATTATGTTACTTTCTCCGAGGCTGAATTTGGTCTTCAATAACTTAATAATCCCCTTTAGACCTAACGTAACCCTGCACCAAAAACAGAGATAGATGATCCGCTCTAGTAAATCTAACAAGGAAAGGAAGGTTGGTCGAAGTGGCCTTTCGAAATGAGATGTATACTGCCTTGTAGAGCACAGAACGCTGATTCCAAATCTACCTTTGCTACCTGCTGCGGGCTTCTAGGCGAGGAGTTATGAAGGTTTTTGGAGTAAAAATCTCAACGCAACAGTCGCGACATTTTTATAGGGCTTAATTGGTAGTCGGGTCACTCGGTGCAACAAATATTCCTAATTCAAATATACCCATCCGCTGCTGCTGCCTCATTGGAGCACTGGGAAAAGGTTACGACTGATTTTACCCTATTTTTGCATTCAGATTTTTACTCACAAAACCTTCATAACTCCTCGCCCAGAAGCCCGCAGCAGATAGCAAAGGCAGATTTGGAATCAGCGTTCCAAGCTCTACACGACATTATACACCTCATTTCAAAAGGCCACTTCGACCATCCTTCCTTCCCTTGTAAGTTGGAGCTAACTATGGACCTATAAATCTGCCAGCTTTCAATGCAAGGGAATTATCAAAGATCAACAGTTCGATATATTATTTTGGGACACTCTGTATTAGTCAGTCCGGAAGTTCGTGCAGTTTTTCTGACTATTTTCGATTACTCAGAATATTAGTAGATAAAAGCTATGAACAATTCGATGCAAAATCTTTTCCTCTTTGTAGCAGTGATGTCTTTCTTTCTAAGTCCTCTGATAATCGCTCGAATAATCGTCAGAGTTTTCAAGCCATGGTTTTTACCTGGCCTGTCAGCTATATTCAATATCTCCATCCCAGACCTTGGCAAGAACTCTGATAACATTCCGATAAAGTAAATAAAGTGCAATAACAATTTTTTGTCATCTGTAGCTGGCTTTTCTTTTTTTGAAATTAAGATGCTATCTGATTCTAAAGTGCGGTTCATAATTATACGAACACTCAAAATTTTGCAAGTTTTCGGACTTTTTAAGAGAAACTCAAAAAGCAGTTGGTACCACGCGATAGAACACAGCCGAAAACGGTATAAGATCTATAAGAATGGAAATTGACGTCAATCTCAGTAGTGTATTTGCGCCTAATGCGAATTTTTAGCGGTTCATAATTATACGAACACCTCAAACAAAGGTCCATTTTTCATTCAAGATTGCAATCATTTGGGTTCAAATTTTTGTAGAGTTACAGTAACAAAGTCTGACATATCTGCTACACACCGAACCCAGTGCAATTCAAAAAGAGGATCCTCACTTTTTTCAGATGGCTTTAAATGCTTTTGGAGTGATTGCGCTCCAAAAACATCCGTTCTTCTGTGGTCAATGCGCTCTAGCTAGCTTCTACCAAAGCTATGAGATAAAATAAGCTCTTTCGATAGGTATTTTGTTTGACGCTGGGAAAATCCTTGCGTTTTAGTGCCGTTTTTCAACCAAGTTCCAACCACCTTACCTTAGAGTTAGCACGATTTCGAGCCTCACAACTCAGCTTCTGGAGCCGCATAATGAAGTAAGCATTTAGTATGTAGAAATTCACAAGACTGTATATTTGGCTAGAAAAAATTAGCAGCGTTGAGCGTTTGTTTTTGCCACGCAGACGTCATTTCACCAAAAACACTGTTTTACTATTGCAAACACACCTTTATTTGGTTTATAGCTCCACAGCCTCAAGATCAGTTCTACAAAAAACCCAAAAACTTTGGCACAGAAACATCATCATGCAAACAATGCAGCTGCTCCATATCAAATGTTTGCGCAAGAAAGAAGCTGAGTTTTGAGGCTCGAAATCGTGCTAACTCTAAGGTAAGGTTGGAACTTGGTTGAAAAACGGCACTAAAACGCAAGGATTTTCCCAGCGTCAAACAAAATACCTATCGAAAGAGCTTATTTTATCTCATAGCTTTGGTAGAAGCTAGCTAGAGCGCATTGACCACAGAAGAACGGATGTTTTTGGAGCGCAATCACTCCAAAAGCATTTAAAGCCATCTGAAAAAAGTGAGGATCCTCTTTTTGAATTGCACTGGGTTCGGTGTGTAGCAGATATGTCAGACTTTGTTAATGTAACTCTACAAAAATTTGAACCCAAATGATTGCAATCTTGAATGAAAAATGGACCTTTGTTTGAGGTGTTCGTATAATTATGAACCGCTAAAAATTTGCATTAGGCGCAAATACACTACTGAGATTGACGTCAATTTCCATTCTTATAGATCTAATACCGTTATCGGCTGTGTTCTATCGCGTGGTACCAACGGCTTTTCGACTCCCAAAAAGTCCGAAAACTTACAACATGTGGGTGTTTGTATAATTATGAACCGCACTTTATTAGGTGAGTCCGAAACTTCGTGTCGTTCTCAAACCTATCGTCAGATCATTCAGAATAGAGAGAGACAAAACACTCTAAGTACTTTTTTACGCAGCATCTCTTTCTCTTTCCAATAGTAATGTTCTGTATTCTGACATCTTCAATGTTCCTTCGAATAATCGTCACAATCTCCAACCCATGCATCTTGCACACTAAGTTTAGCTACTTTTTGAAATTTTCGTTTTGAAATTTTAAAAAACCTTTGATAGAGTAAAAAAACGCTACAAAACCCAAATTTTTTTGACAGCGATAGCGGGCTATTCCAAAAACAATTTTCCAAAAGTCTTCACATTTGGGAAGTTGTGAAAGAGACAAACGTTTCAAACACTATGAAATACTCGTAGAATTTTCAAAATCGATTAAGATCAAACAGTAATTCTAACAAACAAATTAGTTTCTGCTGCCTGAAAAAACTGATTTTTGAAATTTTCGGGTGCAGCCACGGATGGATAAAAAAACAAAATGGCAACCTTTTTCTCGAGACTACAAATCAGAAAGAAAAAACATATGTCAAAAAGAGGAGAAGAAGCTGCATCGAATGACATCCTAGCTGTTTGCTGTCTGATACTATTAAGTTTGGGATAAACAAATATCAAATGGTAGCATCAAAGCTAGCCATCGATGCCAAAAAAATGTATTACACTGCATTTATGTACTCAACTTAACTATTATTAAAGCATCTCCAAAAATTCAGAACGAAGATTTACAAGATTAGCGAAAGTAAGGGTAGGTAAAAATCGAGGATTGAAGATTCTGATGATTGTTCAAGCGAGCATTGAAGGAATCCGAACAAAATCATTACTGCTGAAAAGAGAAAAAAGTTTTGCTTAGAACACTTCTCAAGATTGTTTGTCTATCTTTTTTAGAGTGATTCGAGGATAGGTAGAAAACGGTACAAAGTCTGGGCATCCAAATTTCAAAAGTTAAATAGCGAGCAATAGGCTGTTATTCGATGCGCTTTCATCTCACTCTGGCAGTCCTCTTTTCTTCCTGATTCGTTGAGGCTTTGAGGATGAGATTCTTACAGTCCCTAGTTTGGCATGCGTCCCGGACCGTATTCGGGAGATTCGAACTTCAATATTCCTATGCGGTAAACCCTCTTGTGTCTTAAGTCTTCGATCATAATTAGGTACTTTGCATTTTGCATGAGTGTTGATTATTTAGAAAATCCTTTTGAAAAAT